AGATGCGACCGAATACTGCATGAATCAACATCCAGCACTGAATGCCACGCCTCACCTCACCACGCCAGTATCTACCTGTGTACTGGTACGCTTCAGTTACACTTTGTCACATGACCACAGCAGGTTGGTCCAACCAATACTGTAATACGTCACATGCCTTGGTACTTAACATCAGTAAACGGGTCAGTAAGCAGTGGAATGTGCATGGTAATACATATTTGCATGCGTGTGTTCGACTGTGTGTCATACACCACACGAAGGAATAGTATTTCAAAAACAAATCATGCTAGGAAATAAGTTGTACCAGGCGTTCGGTTTTTAAATTACATTTAGCGGTCTTAAATCAACGATAAAGGACCGCAAAATTGAAAACAGAGCAGCTTTATCTTCTAAATTAGTGGATGTCAACAGAAGGTCCGTGCCAGTTTGTGTTCATTGTTGAGGCACCTCTTCAAAAATAGTCCTTGTACAGAATTTTCCCGACCCATGTTTTCATTCCAACCTACCCGTTAAGCTCTGGTTAGACCTGATCGCCATGTTTGTGGTAATGGGCGACTAACGGGGTCAGGTGGTCAATCTGGCCGACTTGTGTGACACATGTCATCGTATACAAATTGCTTAGATTGATGCTCTCTATGTTGAACATTGTATTGTCTGGTCCAGGTGAGATTGCTTTGGCAGAGATTTTTTATGAATGTGGAAAGGGTGTTGTCGCTTCTACTGAACACTAATGAGTGCAGCGTTAAACAACAATCAAACTAACAATTCATTCCAGCCAAACACATTCAAGTTACGCCTTCACTTGCACTGTGTGGTCGATAAGGAAAACCGTTTGTCGGGGATACATATGACCAGTGCCCCTAATATTCCACATTCTACCATGACTTCAGTAAACACTGGATTGTGATTGGTTAATTAAAGTCATTTAGAGGTATATAATCACGTTATACAGGTCTCTGTTTTCCGTGCGCAATCATACATGGTTTACGGTAATGCACTATTTTTGTCTGCCCACTAACATGGCGGACACCGAACAACCTACCGATGCATCGATAGATCTAAATTACGGCGATTTTACTGTCGGAAATTACACATATGTCTTTAAAGATGGATTTAGCGATGACGGGCACGACTCACTACTTGCGTAAATCACAGCAATAGGTGTTTATACATACAAAAGTACTTCGAAAGCATGGAAACAAATATTCAGTCGAACAAGATCAAAACATCGTCTGCTTTCCGAATAAAAATTCAGCAAATACAAATATGTTTACGTTGATTCTATGTTATGTCAGAATAGATCCAGCAATAGACTGCTACAAAATTTCCGTGTTAAATTTATTATCAGCTTTCGTCAACGATATCGCCACTGATCTTGATCCGGTAACGGAGGATGCATTAACATCGAACGCCGAAGAAATTTTAGATTCTAATGCCTTCCGTCCACATAAATAAACAGTTGGGTTATCAATTCAAACAAAATGATATTTTGAAATTTGTACTGTTTCAAATTTAGCGGTAGTAAAACACAATTAGATCTACAGAATCTGCAAACCGTTCTGTTTAGCCCAACATATTTTTTCTAAATGTATAATATCGTTGAACAAGTTATTTAGCTTAGTCATGATCCCTCTTATCCATTACACTGCTTGATCTAAAGTAGTCTATTAAAGTATAATTAATTACCTTACCGTGTTTATGCCAGAGGTACACCCTCGTGTCCTGATCCATCCTTTCGGAAATATCACCACAAATCTGGCTCTTTGTCAACAGACTCGGGAACATGCCAGCCAATCCGATTCAATTTGAATTCACTACACTTTGAAGCCACCAGGTCACAAAACACTTTCCAAAATGTAGAAAATAATATCCGTAGAATCGAATTTGAGCACAAAATACACACATGAGTGTGTAAGAGTCACCACAGCTGTCGCACGCAGACGTAGAGGTGCGTGAAATCGTCAAGTTGACAGGGCGCAAAATTCAACAGTATCTAAATTCGGTACAACACGGATTTCTCGTTACAGCAAAAGCGTCCCTACTCTTAAATTTTGTACCAGTACCAGTAATTAGATATCAAAGACTATCTCAGTCATACAATCAGGTTAACCTTGCGCAAACTGTCAGTGGCTCTCCTGTCGCATCTTTCCAAATGTAAACAATGACTTCGAGAAAAGGTCAAGGCCATGAGGTTGCTGCCACTATTCTGGTGGGGAAAGGGTCTACGGTGGAATTTTCAAATGTGAACCAAGCTTTTGAAACTTATTTGATATATGTTTTCCAACTTATCAGTTAATGATTGGTGATTGATGCATTGAAAAACAAAACGTGATTTGTTATTACTGAATCTGGAGTTTGTTAGTCATTGACGGTTTGCCACCAATCACCCTGTTTCGGGCGATGCCACGAGATTGAATGCGAGGCCGCTTCACGTATTAACTTGTAACCAAAGAAAGAGCTCCACCTGAAATTGTTCATAAAATTGTCATAGAATGGAGATAAACCTATTGTGTTAGGTAATCAGATATATAACGAAATTATAATAGTTCTAATTGTTCATTTAAAACCTCACGCTACGCGTCGGTTTTAAATGAAATTTAGAGCTATTATAATTTCGTTATATACCTCTGATTTTCCCACACAGTAGGTTTATCTCCTAATTATGTCTATCTTGGCATCTAAATTATTTTTTTCCGGTAGGTAAACTTGAGGGTTGCAAAGGATTTCTAATACAATCACCTGCAATCAGTGATTTCAACAATGCCAGCTTCTGATGACAGATGACGAGATCTAGATATTAAGATTAAGTAGAAATGTCATAAAAATGAAATTGTGATTGAAACCGTCGACAGACCATGTGATCATCCATGTGAGCCCGGGAAGCATTAATGAATTAATTATAAATTTTCAGTAAATGCTATTTTTTCTTAACACAGTGTATGAAACATGGAGTACATATTTATGGATTTAATGTCACAACCAACGAGATCTCTGCGTGTTATCCAGACTTCATACTGGCCTGTATAGAACGTCATACCAGTGCATTTGGAACTTATGGCATCTTCGAGTTCAATACGTGAGTGAGTGAGTTAAATTTCCAATAGGCAACTTTAAGTTAACAATCAATTTCTTCCTTTTATTTTTACAATCCGTGAATGTCCGGGTTAGAATTGATCTTCAGCAACCCATGCTTGTCGTCAGAGGTGACTAACGGGATCGGGTGGTCAGGCTCGCTGACTTGGTTGACACATGTCAAAAGATTGCTGTTGATCACAGCATTGTCCAGACCGCCGCCATATAGCTGGAATAGGTGTGGTGTAAAACTCACACACTTCCATTATTACAGTTATTACACAGTTTTGGCTACGGTATCAACACATGATCAAAGTAGAGCGGGAATCGTACAACAGACTTTGCCTTCATCAGTTTACTGAAATGGATTGTATCACTTTCACTAACGTTAGGCATCACCATGGCTCACAAGGTCTGTTACCGGTCTGACATGACATGCCTACAATGTTCGTGGTGTAGGAGGTGTTTGTTGTCTGCGTGCCTGTTGCCAAAACAGAACTTATGCAATGCTGCGGTATATTCTGTTAAAAGAAATCATCGTCCGTTTACAGAAGACATCTTTCACGAGGAGCGCATTTAGAAGCCGAAGCTGCTGTAAAATCTCAATAATTTGGAGATATATAGTGAACACTCTTCCAGCGTTGAACACTATTCCAGCTCTAACACGGCGTGTCGACTTCACCTGGAAGGAATGCATGAGTGATACAGGTAGTAGACGTTCACCAGATTACCGAAACCCACGAACGCAGATGGCGCAGATATACCTAGACACATAATCAGGACTGATGAGGATCCGAACCCACGATCATAGGTTTCTTGTGTGCCCAAGGGACGTAGCTCTGCCATGGACATTAAGCACTTTGAAAGACTGGGTCATCCGAGCCCGGGAAGATAACTAGTGTACGGTACGTAAAAGTGTACGGTACATTGTCCGTCACACTGCTGTCCGGGTTCGATTCCCCACATAAATACGGTGTGAAGCTCTTTTTAAGTGTGCCACGCTGTGATATAGTTAAATGAAACACTCACCATCACTGGGCGAACAAACAACCATAATTAACCGTGTGCTTTAGCTATAATAACTTGTTAACACATACTTGCATCAAACGTTCATATGGGACACTCTAGAGAACATTGTAAACAATTGACATATCGTATGCAAAATAGGGCATGATAAGATTTTATTTGCCAAATATGGTTTGCATTATAGTCAGGCCGCGTTAATCCGAAACGTTCAGATAGTGAAACGTACGGACTACTGAAACGAACCATTGTGTACACCACTACAGTAGAGTTACTTCCCTTTGACATACCGAGACAAGAACATAAGAACGTATACATGTTCATGTATCAAATGACTTTATTACAGTTTGTATAACAATCAAAACTCAGAAACTCACTCGGGTTTAAAGAAATCGCCAATGATAGCGGTGTTGGGAGGCAGGAAATGAACTTTCACGTTGGTCAGTTTGACATTGGCACACTTGTGACTGGCAGCGTTGTCACAAAGTAAGATCACGTGATCGCATCTGTCTGTCCAAAGCTCTCAGCGTTTACACAAGTGAGACCTATTAATTGATTCAGATCACAAACTAACGACATGTTCAACTCAGAAGTGTCATCTCAATTATCAATTAACATTTAAGTTTACCGATGAAGATCAGCGCGAATCAATGGTGTTCACGAGGTAAGGGGATTATCCGAACCAATTTGATGTATCGCCGGATTAATGAAGCCAAACCAAGTGTAATTAGCTAATCCGTTATCGCTAATTAACGTCCGGATCCGGAGAGTGAAGCACCGGATTAATGAATCAACAGTTAATGAGTTTACATAGTAAACAAGATTTGTTATAACCAGCTATCGTTCGGATATTGCGTTAATCGGATTATCGGGGTGCAGATGTAAAAGCTATTTTGGTGTCTACCAAGAACGATTTTTCATTCCCTGTGTATGTTAACAAGGTTGCTTGACAAGATTTGAAAATTCCATGGCGATTCTTTAAAAAAACAAACAAGCAATTTGGAAACATAATTGTTTTCCAAATGATATCAGCTCAATTATGATGCATGAATCCAAAATATAGGGATTCAGAAAAAATGGATGCTTTTGAAACGATTCATTTTTATACTTGTAAGAACTATCTGGGTGTTAATATAACACACGTAACAAGTTATGCTTGTAAGAAGTATCTGAGTGTTAAATAATACACATATACTCAGTTTACTGAATAGTAGTAAGAAAATACTTAAGATACCAAATTCAAAATTGAAAAGGACCTGTAACAATGAGTTGTTACTCTATGATCGTGGTTGTAAGTGTAACTCGACACCGTGTGTTAACCAGTTGATTAAATCACTGGGTCTGGTGCTTTATAGACTGAACAAAGTGAGTATCTTCTCAAGTATCTACTATATTTAACAGACAGCACCATTTGCTCTAAAGACACGTGCAGAAATTCGAAGTGTCCTTATGGCAGTTCTCACGATTTCCTTATTGAATTAGATAGACACCATGATTTCAAAAGAGAAGGCAGAATCTGTCAACTGTATGTTGATTTTTGTAATACGGAAGATAAATACCACTTGATGTACTTTTGTTTCCATTTTATGTTGAAGCCAGTTCAAGAATGAATCTTTTATCCTCACTTGTGTAAAGTGTACTTTTTAATGAAGACTAAAAATACTGAACAAAAATTGTCGAATTTCATTCTGCATTATATGAATCTCATAAAGCATGCACTAACACAACGACGGGATATGTTTGTCAGTTGTCATGGTTATTGATGTATATTCCGTTACATAAATATATCTTAAAGGTCACATGCAACCAAAAATACAAACATAATCAAAACACAATTATCACGTATTCATGATATATAATATGCACTGCTGATTATGAAAAAACAAGTAAACAAAATTATAAGCGTACAATCGCAAAACAAAAGTGCAATAATGTGTACTTGGGTTTACTACGCTCGAAACGAAGCACCCGGGATACCGAACCCAGTCAGAGCGGGTTGGCGAGCACTCAAGTGTAACGAAGTCTTTCACTGGCTAGTTCATTTGCCGATACGCTCAGCCGGTTCTTTGTTTATGGCGTATAAGCCCGATAGGTGTTAAGTTCAAATTGCATGGGGTCAGTGATTGAAATTGTGTATTGCATATTGTCATTTGCAGAGAGGCAGGTAATAAAACAGACATTGAGTTTTGTCAGTGACAGAGGCTGCTTGTCACAATCAACATGTTTTTTTATGTAACGAGTAGATTATTTACTTGTCTGTGTACACAACCAAGATTAGACTCCTGCTCACGACCTTATAATCCGGACATGCATCCTGTTTCAAGCTCCACGAACCTATTCACTGCGTATGCGTTATAAGCGCAGCGCAGCATAGCTGTTGAAACCACTTTTCACCCCAGCGCTGGGGTGAAATTAGTGAATCGTTTGAACTCTGATTTCGCGGGGGTTTTTTCATCGCGTTATTTTTCAACTTTAGAAGTTGAATTTGCATATTTGATTATTTCTTTCTCTAAGTCCATACTGAAAGGTATCAGAATCTGCAAAGTTGCGTTTTGCGTTGCATGTGACCTTTAACTTCTCTATATGTATAAATTATAGGCCAATGGCGTTCTAAGTATTATGGACTGATGGTAGACTTTGCCAGTCTAAGCAAATACTCCGATGCAGGCAAAAAGTGAACTTGGGCACAAACTGGTGCTTACTTCTTGCTTTAAAGGTCACCAACTGAGATTATCTACCCTTTCCAGGAAATCGACGATTTGAAGGCACTTTTGAGAGTGGAAGGTCTTCTGTGTTTCTTGATGTACTCTGCACGGTAAGATGGTTCAGATGGCCCCCATGTGTCATCAGGTTTCAGGGACATCTTGATCCTCTGAAATAAATCCAATACCATAAACACTTCGCACTGAAACATTGCTCCCAAAAGCCCTTTCACTAGGAGCATTAAAAACCTGAAGCCTTACACAAATCTTTTCGCACAGCATGACACAGTTGACTAGCTACTGACGACCGTATTTACAGTATTGCATGCACAACTAAGACACTGTCATGAACTGTAAGAAAATGTTCATGAACCTGTTACAGATTCTGTGAGTCTTGAATGTCATAGACTATTTAACCAAGAGTCAATGGGCATGTGCTGAAGTAAGGTATTGCTTCCAGATGAAACATTGACGGGTGTATTTACTAATTCTTAAACCGATCCTGAATTTGACGAATTGATGAAAGACAACTTGTCTCTTGAGTCCAACTTGACATAAACAAATGACACATTTCATTTTAATTCCAAAAGTAGTAACGACGGAATGACATATTACTACGCCCATAACGACCACGCTTATCACGACCTGGCTGATATAAAGAAATGTTTTAGTCCCGGCTACTTACTTTAGTCGAAATGCTTACAATGAACTACGGTTGTAACGAACTAAATTAGTTTCCCTCTGAGTTCGTTATAACCCTAGGTTACTGTATGTATCGCCATTCAAATGTTTACGAAGTAACCGCAGATCTAGAGAGGTAATGAGCATCGATCTACGCAATTGGAATACGATGACATGTGTCAACCAAGTCAGCGAGCCTGACCACCCGATCCCGTTAGTCGCATCTTTCATGTATGACAAGCATGGGTTGCTGAAGACCAATGTTAATAATTGTTTGTTGTTTAACGCCAGTGTTCAAATGTACACAAGTCTGAGTGAAATATTGCCAATACATGTCTATCAATTTATAAATAAACTACCAGAAATATGTACCTTATGGATTTTAATGTTGTATATTTTCATTTTTTATTGACAACGTTGACAGCTTTAAACCGAATTACCTGAAAAACACCTCCTTTCCCACGGTAAATAGCGAGGAACATCATTATTATCACAGGCATCAGGGGGAGGGAAGCGATTATCCATCCTATTACAGTCGAGTAATAAGGATACACATATTCTCCATATGTTGGCAACTTATACTGGGCGAAGGTGAAAACAATAGTCATCTGGAAAATGAAATACGTTTTATTAGCATATAGTTTATTTGTAAATACAATCTGTATAAACGTACTGAGATATACTTGAAAACTGTTTTCATAAAAGACTCTGGATTTCCTACTTTGAGTTTTCATAATGTTTCTTTAAAATCTATAAACTGAATTTAGTCATTAAAAATGACTAACTTAATAACATTATATTTGCGCCTTCAACGTAACAAAGGCTCTAAAGCTCACTCGAGACGATAAGGTACGTATTTCCATGTGTGTAATGCTCAGCATCCGTCTCATTTTGTAGGGAGACCTCAGTAAATCTTCCCAACGCTTTGTGACGGACATATATTGTTTCAGGTGGACAGTTGACTTGCCTTTGCGTGCGTTTATGATGGTGCCATCGTTTGGGCAGGAAAAGCTTACCTATTAGCGAACGCTTGGTATTTTATAGTGATGGCTAAAATAACTTTGTACTTGGAATCTTAAAATGGTACACTAACTATGTATAGCATCTATTTCTTATGTTATGGAAATGGATTTGTTGCTTGTATATATTCCCTGAGTTCATAAAGAGGCGATTCCATGAAAGACGTTGATACCTACCAGGAGCATTGCTGGTGTAATGTAACACCATGTGATCTTGAAGAATAGGGGTGCTGGTCTGCCAATCATCAGTTGAATGTCGCCACTGAAACGGTCAATGCCTAAAAAGATAGACACAATATTAGAATAGTTCTCGACAAATGGTAGTTTAGAGAATACCATCTGAGCTCGTAATTCACATACTTGTACTACTTCGACGACTGTTAACAGCGCGCTGTCATTAAGAAACGCTATAGTTGCAGAAAGCGTAGCAATTCCTACCACAAAAACGTCAGTGGCATTTTTATCCATGTTCAAAATGTGAAACATCTTTGTTTTTTTTATCATGATTACATTTTGCAAAATACCTACTGTCTTTGAGAAAAATTATAAATTATAATATTAACGGTTTCAAATTGTCCTGGCACACTGCTGGGATAACAGATGGATCATTGGCCAGATATATACAGTTAATAAATGAAGTGGTGTTTTAAAACCATAGGATGTACGCCACCAACGCCTAGCGAGCAGTCCTTACCATACAACCATGACACCATGATACATTCCAGCAAAGCAACGAATGTGATGAAAAGCGCCACAATGTACCAGTCTACAAGCTGGAACACATATACTCCACCCTGAAATTAAACATCAAAATATTAACAAGCAAGAACTCGGATGTTCTCGGATCCAGGCCCTTTGTCTAACAAATCACCTCAGTGAAAATTACAGTGGTAAACGGAACACCATGAATTAGTCTAAAGTTGAAATCGAGTAGCAATGTTTAAGTCAAGATATATTAAAAATGCCACTTTGTCTGCATGCATGTCATGTAGAACAGGATGTTGTACTGATGCAAATCAATTGGGTCCTTAAAATAGCGAAAAGAGGATATGCTAGTCCCAAACATTTTCATAAAATATCTTAAGAATGAGAACAATAGACGGAGAAATCATTGAGATTAATGGTTGTTGTTGATATATGTGAATATAAACACTTTAAACAGACAAACAGACACACACAAACACGGGCACACACGAACGCGCGCTCACGCACGCACGCACACACCTGAGTAGTCATTACAAGTCCAACGAGAAATGACACCAGGCAGTAGACAGCGGCGATTGGTATTCTCCATTTCACTAGGCTGTGGTATTCATCCAAGATTGCCGTCATGAAAGTTTCAACTTGCGAGAACTTAAAAAAAACCATGATAAATCAATGTAAATATTTGTAAAATCAATACACATACGCCATGGGCATGGTTTGATAACATGATTCCTTGATACAAGAATCTCACTTTTTACGTAAACCATTCTTACTCCAACACGATTCCAAGATGTCTGGTTAAGCCATGCTCGTTGTTATTCAATTATTACTCTTTTAATTCGAAATATATTAGGATAATCTTCAAAATAGCTAGTCTCCAAACTACATTTAACAATCAACCCTCATCAGTTGGCACTTCCAGTGGACTTGTCATGGACAGCTATCATGCTCTGGAACATATGGTCATATGCACAAGATATAATGTAAGGGATCTTGCGTCGTAACTTTGTCAAACGTGTGAGAATGCGAAATCGTGAAAACACGAGATTTGGGCCAGTTTAGCCCGTTTCGCAAAAACGTCCCTTACACTATTCCATACAAATTCAACTTTACTCATTGCGGTTTATTTTACAGACTTAGAAGACGCCATGATTCTGGAATTCTGCTCAATTCGAACCCAACTAATCACTGGGTAAATTTAGTTAAACGTGTAATATCATATTTATTAAAGTAGTGTTTGAAGTATTTTCCACAACAGATGAAGCAAATATCAGCAAAAGCAATTTGTAGCATTGGTACATTCTAACCAGAGAATCCATCGCCAATAGGATGATCATGACAAAGAAGATAAAACTCCACAACTGTGGAACCGGAAGATGAGCCAGGGCTTCTGGGTAAATAACAAAGCCCAATCCAGGTCCTGCAAATATAGAGATTTAGAACAAACCATGTCTCAGTGGTAGCAATACACATTACATGTTTGCATGGGGTGTTTTGTTCTGGTGCATAATCATAAAATGTATAAAAATAAGTTTAGTCTTGATAATTTTCCTTTACATACATAGTATATTTCGCTGCTCAGCAGCTCTTCAGTTTTAATAAAACTAATTAAGCGCAGTCACACAACGGCAGTATCTGTGTCATCATAAAACTTATGAACGTAACAGTTAGTGACAATAGAAGGAGATGTAAAACGTAGTCACAGGCGACAGCCAACATTATGTTGTGAGTGTAGAAATATGCATTGAGCTGCATAGGAAAGTTATGAAAAAAATCCTTTTGAATGAAGATTAGGTTTCAAAAACCTAATGAACATCTGTTCTTTTCTCAAAGATTCATTTTGATACACATTCACGAATGACAAAAGAATAGATGTTCATCTGACTTTCGTTTTCCATTTATGTTTTTAAAAAGTTTACAAAATGAAAAAGAATATATGTTCGTTAAACATGAGTAACATATTTTCAGGCGTTTTACCATGATATTAGGATGAGAAAGCCACAATAACTCGGTGCGCCTAGTGGCTGCAAGGGTTGTATATTCCCCAGGGAGTTGAGATTGATAATGCGATGTGCCGTTGAGATTGACATCCAATGATCGAGGGAAAAAATACCAGCGCCTTGAGCATGCAATAGTGCGTGGATATGTGCGCTATATAAATATCATATAATAATAATAATGATTGGTAGTTTATTCTATAAAAGAATATGCTTTTCTCCATAGTGTGTGTGTATAGTATACATTGCATAGATTAATCACACTGAAACAATCACGGATGTGACCAAGGGGAAGAATGTGTAATTCAGCCCATCGTTTGTCTTAAGAGGCGATTAAACTGGAAACCTGTGATGAATACCTGTTATAAATGGTCGTTAACAACCTATCATGGGTTGTAAGAAGCGACTAAATGGATTGGATGGCCTGATTCAGTGACTTGGCTGAAGGCTTGGCAACTTACCCCCGATCGTTGGGATCGGTTCGGATCGTTGCTCGTAAATTAAATGGCCGATTGTTTGATACAGACTCGACGAAGGTTTGGCTGTCGTCACATAACTTGAAAATTGCTGTGTGGGACCTCTCACACACATTAAGGCACACACATTCTTTCCTTCGTCATTCATATGCCGGAATGATGTGTACTTACTGAATGCACCTATCTCTAAACTACACATGGACAGATACGGACTGATATTCACACGTACCAGAAAAAGTAACACTTACAGACATTTGAGTCACTTTCAAAATTCGTGCATGTTTATGTGATATGTTTCTACCCGACAACCTTAAGCCAAAATGAATACTTTCTTATGGTAACACATTTATCTGAGTTTATTGGGAAAACATATCTTTATATTTATTTTAAACCCCCAAACCACCCAATCTTACTCAATTTTCATGTGTCACAATTCCAGTGGCCGATGTGCAATTTGATTTTTGGGGGGTCTTTTTCATGTTTTTCAAAAGAATTCTTTTTAACATATCATAATTAATGATGTTACAGCTACATGCATGGCGTGGTTTAGCCTTTTTTGTATGGAAAATCTTTTGTAAAAAATGTTAAACTTTGTCACAAGGTTTGTCACTACCGTAACATCATCCAAGATATTGCCAGAATGATTACTCCCTGTACTGTCTTCTGATTCTACTTCATGTGTGCAAGCAGTGAGGAAACATCACTGTCAAAGACTGACACCCCAAAAAAATCATTTTTCTGAATTTTATCGCAAAAAGGGTGTATAGAAAATGATATCTTAGATTTTTGCATGTCCTAACCGTTACGGTGAGTAGTAGAGAGAATGATTGTCCGGGACCAGTTCCAACAAAAGCCTCTGCAAAGCCTTATTTCCCAAATAAGGCTTTGGTCGGACCCTTAGCTCTTGCTACCATTACCCCTACTATGAAAAATTAGTAAAATGTCCCCGGCAGCCACAATTCCCCAAGGGAGAAATAGAAATGTATTGCGCTTCCTCCCAAGGGGAATTGTGTCTCTCACCGTGAGAGAACCTCACATCACACAAAGTTGTGACGGTGGGATACGAACCCACATGTACAGCTTGCGCAGACTATACATAATGGGTCGCACCACTCAACCGACTGAGCTACCGCGGACTTAGCTGAAGTAGGTCAGTTTAACGGGTATTGTATCACACACCCACGCATCACGTGCTGTTGACAGGATCAATAGTCCTCTGTCTGGCCCATCAAGTAGTACAAGGTAGGTTCGTCTGATTTTATTTTCACTTTATCTATGTCCACGTGCCGCTATGTCACGTTGACCTCGATGAAACAGTTTAATGTGAATCGCCTATGATCTCTTTGGTGTTCGTAATAAAGGCTTGCTGGGCTTTTTTCACCCCTTGTTCTATGTACTTTTTTTTCTCATCCTCGCTTATAGCAGACTTACGAGACTTGGATCGAATCTCTTGTTTCATTTTGTCATATTTTGTGAGTTCAGAGAGGATCAAACGAAACTCCTCCTCCGAGATCTTGTTGTCAGTGAGTGCGGTAGAAATAAGATCGCTTATGGTGTTAAGCTTTGCTTCAGCTAGAACCCTGATCTCATCATGCTTCAATGCTTTTACGATGTAGTCTGCGGGATACAAGCTTAAGCACCACCCCCAACACCCCTGTCACCCCAGCTGTTATTTCGAGCCCCATCACTATAGGTGCTGCCACGATGGTAGCTAACAACCCAACACCTGCCACCCCTAGCCCCATGCTGGTTGTCATAAGGGTGGTATCAACACCATCCACGGCATTGAAAGCTCTATGGTACTTCTTATATAGTGCTTTCCGCTTGTCGCGGTCTTGTTCTAGTTGACGTTTTACATCGCATAACTGTCTCAAGCGGAACCCGTCTACGGTTTCCAGGGTCTTCGCTACTTCATCTATACCTGGGTACAGCCCCATCCTATAATATATATTACGAAAGATATTTTAATTGGGCTTCAGTTAATAGTTGGCCAACGTACCTGAGGCTTATAAAACTTACATTCTCGTATGTGTAGATACGGGAAGGGTCAATAGGTAACTTCTGGTCTATCTCAACATCAAAGCAGTTTATTATGGGGGGTAGTAATCCCTGTTGGGGGTCCCCCAATCGTATAACGAATTTGCAAGATACGGAACCTTCTCCTATAAGGCCGTCACCCCAACGTATTGTTACACCGGGTAAAAGTTCCAAGTTTGGGGATGGGTCAAAGTCGTCCGAATCAAACTTACCCTTGTAAGCGACTTCTACGATGAGTGTGGAGTTTGGTTCCATAGCCCTAACCCCTACTATGGTATGATGATGGTGGGTGGCTATTAACTGGGACTGCCTGGATGAAATTAATAGGGTGTCCCTAGGCCAATATGGGGAGTTAGAAACTATCATCCTTCCAGTTGGAATGAAAGACGTGATCAAGGTGCCGTTGTTCCTAATTTCAGAGACATAACCATCTTTGTCTAGTGAGATATAAGGTGCGGTGGTGGTCACGTTGATCACCCATTTAGGTTCTTTAAAGAATACCAGGTTCTGACGTATGTACACACCGTTGTTAAATAATAGGACGTATGAGGTGTTGTTAGGACCACGCTTATCGAATCCCTCTATGTCTCCTAAGCCCCTGAGTGTGGGTTTGGGTAGATGATCGGCTATTGCCGCCCGCCTATACACGTTGTCTTTCAAGTGTAGGATGTACAAGGCGTCTTCCTCACCAGGCTGATCGAATCCCTCCGTGTCCCCTAAGTCGTTAAGTGTAGTGTTGGGGTGGTGCCTAATCATTGCTATAATACTATTACGAGATAATTTCCAACTGGTTTTCTGATAATAGTTCAGGGGTGCACTTCACCCCCATGAAGTGTATGTTGTCGGGTAGGAAGATCTTGGTTAGTGATATAGTGTCTTCCACGACCACGGTGACACCCTGCAGACTGGTTTTGGAGTCGACACCCACCCGCACGTAAACGGTGCAAACGTTATACTGGTGTTGTTTCCCCCACCGCAGTTTGACCCCCTTCACGATCTCTACATCATCCCGCGATGGTTCCCCTAGGTAGACTTGGATGATCAGTGTTGAGTTCGCCGGTAGACTCTCCAGGATCTTGACCACGCCTTCGAATTCAGACACCAACTGCAATACCACGTTTTGCATGCCCGCTTTACTCGATAGCATGTGGGCTGCCATACTGGCGAGTGGGCTGATGACTACGCTACGTCTCTGAGTCGGGACGTAAGCCACGAGCAGGGTTCCGTTGTTCACGACTTTGTTTAGGTGGTTGTCTTTGTTATCCGTGAACACGTAGGGGGAGCCGAGCCTAATATTGAGAAACCAGTCGGCTTTATCGGGTAATAACACCCACTTGTCTTCATCGGTGAAGACGAGCGTATATGGTTTGTTTCGGGCGACGGTAGTGCTCTCAACATCGGTTAAGTCGAATAGTTTGCCCCCGAACGATGGGTATATTATCCAGTTATCATCACCGGTGTTGACAAGGGTGTACTTAGTGTTGACTGCCGCTCTTGTGGTATCTACTATATCACTTAGGTTGCTAGTACCACCGGAGGGGACTTCAACGCGTTTGTAAATGCTGTTTTTCAGTTGCAAGGCGTACAATTTACCATCTACTCCGGGGTCGTCGAATCCGCGTGTGTCCCCGAGATTGGAGATCCCCACATTGATGCATTTTTTCAACTTCATTCCGGGAGCTTGTGCGCTGGTCATTTTATGTGCAGGGTTATGCTGAGGTATCCTATATTCACGAGATTATGATTTATATCTAACACCGATATTATCAGCTCAGGGATGTTGCCCTGGGTTAACCTCTTATACTGCCGAGGTGAAAACGACTCGGTTCTACCGTCGTTGTATTTCTCCGTTTTCACCGGTACGGCTCTCAGTATAGTGGAAGGGTGACCCCCCTTGAATGTTGTCCGTT